TCCAGTTTTTGGACAACAACTCAAAAATGCTTTAAGCAGTTCGCATGAAACTTTGGTGAATTATTTATAGCTATTGATGTAATCTCCCTATTGATTTTCATAAATTTCAAATATGACATTGAGAAGAAATTGAACTTTATTTGTTTATAGTCTGGCAACAGATTTATTAAGTATTGCGCCACAGCACAGTGTATTGCACAACAGCAAGAAATCTTTAATTGAATATAAATTCAATTCATATAACCGATTTCAAGTTCTTTGACTACATTTATTCAGAATCTATAATATGTCAAATATTTAATTACAATCCAAATTCAGACATGTATCAAGCTTGAATATTTTGTCCATTTTTGCCCCAACTGTTCAGGGTTGGACCACTGCGGGTGTATCCAGCTGCGTTCAGCGAATCAGTTTATTTCTTAATTAAGAACTCCTTTTTTCATTCATAAATTACTTTATACTTGGAAATATAATTTTGCTTGGAGTTATAGTTTCTAAAAAAAGTATTGTCATTGAAAGAGTTGACATGTTGCAATGTACATTTATTCTACATAGTTCTATGGTACCAAATCAAAAGTTTATATAAAAGAAAGAAGTCAAAGGTTTCCCATCATAGTTTAGTAACATACATTTTTTTGTACCTGAGGTGGTTGAATATAGATCATTATATAAATAAGGAGATGTGTTATGATTGCCAATGAAACAACTATCATCCATACTTACCAGTAACAAACCACATTTGCAAAGTTGAATAAAATACAGTTGATAACATTTACTTATTACTAAAAAGAAAATGCCTAACTATTTTAAACAGTATTTGACTATAAACATAGATAAAAAAGGTACAAACTGGACATAATGCACTACTTCATAAACAAGTGAGAACAATCGCCTTCATATAGTGCTCAGAATATGACATTAATAAAACTTGTTCAATATCATAAGGAAACTCTAAATCTTAAATACTGAAAGCCACCTCTGATAAGTACACTGTACTATGCAAGATAATGATATAACTGGACTAAAAATACACACAACCTGTAATTAACTGCCTTTACAGCGCTTTCGCGCTTTGATTTTTAAAGCAATTGCTTTAATGCTATGGCGTATAGCCATCTTTGAAACCCAGATCCAGCTAAAATTTTTAGCAGATTCCTCTTCTGTCATTCTAAAAATCCTTTGTATGTTTTCTAATGAAATACATTAATTGAAAAGTGGAAAAAAAACAGTGGGTTTGTGAAGCTTCAACATATGTTCTTGTAGATGATTTTTTTTGTATTTAAGGGGACAACCGTTTGACTATCAAAGCACGTAGAAGTCCGAGTGAAAAAGTGCATTTTTATACCTGTGATTTCGTTCTTGAGATGTTTCAACAAAGTATTGAATCATGCCAGTTGTTGATTTAATATTGAAAATTTGACTGAATTATTCCTTATACGGTTTAATGTTATTTAATTCGTGTTTCTTTTTGAAAGAGGTCAAGTTGCTCTTGTTCATTCTTAAAATTAATGTTCATTCATAACATAATAGTAAAATCACTACGCACGTTATAGTAATGTAATCTTTATCTCACATTATTTGTTTTAAATTCAAAGGAGTACCGTTTATGCGTTCTGATTACACTTGCCATGTGTTTAATACTTTCTTGAAATTACGGACCCTGTTATTTATTATGGGTTTCCTCAATTGCTGATTGATACTGATAGACTCCATTCTGTAATCAAATGATATAATGATCAACTGATCAAGGTTACTTCTCGAGACAGTGTCAAATGTCACAATGACCCTCTAGGCAATTGAAAATGATTACCTGTAATTCTCTGGAATTAAAAAGTTTTGTTTTTTATATTCTGAAGTTTTAAAAATCAAAAACATTTAACTGAAAGAGTGTTTCTGTTTGTCGTATGTTAAACCCAAATAATCTTTTTATTTACTTTTATAATGTTTCGTAATGTCTCTGGTTAAATGTAATGCGTGATCATCGTCTTTTCATTGGATGGTTTAAAATAGATCTTTCTAGCATTGCCCAATTCAGTGTCCCAGTTTTATCGTTTTCACAGGACGGTCCTTCCGCCCTTTCCTGCCTGACGCCGTGTGACCTTTTAATGATTCCCTGTGCCCTTTTTAAGACGCCCTGCCCGATTTTGTGAATTTCTACACGAAAAAATGATTGTTACTAATTTTGAACAAAATCGTTGTTTCTCGTGATTATTGGGCATTGCATACATGCTAAATTTTTAACTTGTTTAGAGTATTTAAGTTGTATTCCTCTGTCTGTATGTCGGAATTATACAAATCGTGATCATGGCAGATGAATTTTCATCTGGAAGAAGGTTCTTACACAGCCTAAGAAGAAAAGCATGGCTGATTGACAAAATTCAAAGATGCAGTACTACCATAAAACTTTTGTCGTATTTCTATCACAATGCCCAAGCGGGAAAGACGTTTGAAAGAAGAATTAGAAAAAGTAAAGAAGCAAACAGGAGTTTGAATGACTTCTTTTATACTACACGAGTGTTTTAAAAATTTTTGATTTACAATCCTATGCAGGAAATCGTCAAGCGTATTGACGATGACTTCATGAAACTTTTAACTGAAAATTTCTTATTTTAAAATCTGTTGCATTAATTTTTTTACGTGATTAAACGTAAGCCAGTTCCCAGGTTAATCGACAGTTAACGTGCATTTCATGAACATTTCAGAAGCCGGTCCCATCTTCAAATCTTTAATCGGTATCTATGAATGAATGATTATTATTATAAAACAACTATAGTTCGGTAGAACACTCGCGTCACGAAAGTTGAAATCATCAAATGAATGGTAATTATGATATACCTAAATTAAAATAGAAGCAATAAAGAGAATGAAGCCAGGTGCATGGATTGTGATGTAAATTATTGCCCAGTAATAAACACTCTATAAGGGGATAATCTGTTATGATTTTTTTGGAAGTTATACATTTCCACAAGTAAACTTGCCTCCACCTTTAGCCTGATAAACGTGTCGTCCCCCTGGGAAATGTAAAACATTAAAAAAATGACTTTCTGCTGGATAAGTCTTTTAATATTGATATAAAGTTAAAACAGCCTTACTTCTCACTAGATAAGACTCCTCTCAGGTTATGTTCTTTTACGTGTGGATGAAAAATAAAAGTCACAAAAACATTAACTAGGCAGCAATTGCTTTAACAGCCTTTAAGACTTTGATTTTATACTGTAACAAGATTTTATTATTCGAACATAGAAGATGTTAATAAACTCGAGAAAGACATACTTCTGCCCTTTATACACTAGTGCATTACTAGGTTAAATTAATTGGAATCAGTGTAATAAATGTTTGCTTTTTCATTATATTCTGTTTAGAATCATTGGTCATTCATATTAACGATACAATTTGACATGATCTCCAGGCCATACGTTGACATTTAAATGTTTATTTTTGTTAGCTGTTTAATGACATATGGATTTATTTACATTACCCTATATCTCATTTTATCACCGGCTTTTTAATTGTCCTTAGTAACACAATAGATGACATAAGTTCAACCGAAACTGATAAGCCTTCCAGAGCACATAAATTTAACCGCAGTTATTGGTGAGATTTGTGTTGCTTGATTTGAAAGGTTTTTGTTTTGTGTTTTGTGGACTTCCTTCGACCATGGTGTTACAGACGTATTTGTTCTTTCCGATGTATTATTTTGCATAATCCTTGGTTATGATTAAGGTTGTCCAATTTGATACTGTTTGATCATTATATATTCGATCTGAAAAATACTGAATTAATTTTTATTCTCCACCAAAAAAAAAAACAATTCGGAAGAATATTGTAGTTTCTTTGTTTGTCCGTCCGAAACAAATGATTTCCGGATGACATTTTTGAGTTAAATTTGCTTATCAAAAATGAAACTCAATCTGATCAAAAATACAGATCGTGTGTCCATGCTTTGCTAACCTTGATCTGACTATCCTCCATTTTACTTCGTCGTATTGATACACACTTTAAAACATTGAAAACAAACATTTCATTGGTTGATTTAAAAGTTATCAGAAAAGAAAAGAAGAAACGTTGTCGGAATCTTGTAAGCGAACCGTGGAAACATGATCTGTATTTTAATCAGAATGAATGAAACCTATTGAAGATATAGGGATGGCCAAAAGGCCTATTAGTTTTGGACTGATGTGGTTGACGTTCTGGGCCCATGTTACTAAAAATAGATTTTTTTAACAAGCCTTTCCATATGAAATCTTGATTTTTCCTTGCTAATTTGGAACGAAAATCATCATTGACAGATGTGTCAAATTAAAGGGCGCTGTAAATTAAATTTGATTTTTTTTTCCGCACAATTATGTTTTGAATAAATTCCTTGTTATCCGTGCTATATAGGAACGAAACTTATACACATGAAAGATATAGGAAAGCTGAATAAGTCTATTGATTTTGGTGCCAATAGCTCAAATTTCAAGATAGCTATTACTTAATATAGAATATGTTTGGGAGAAATATTGTTTTCGGATAATTATTTAAGTTTCCTTTGTTGGTTAACATATGAAACTTGTGTGGATGGTTAATGTTGAGAATTGGAAGTTTAGATTTAAGATGAGGGGTCAAGGTCACAGCGATTGAAAGTAGACTTAAATGTCGAAGTTGTGTTTACTCGTGTGCCAAAGAAGAAATTTGAGTAATCTCAGAAGATAATTAGAAGAAAAGTTTTAAGATACATAGAAAAAAATCAATAAATTTCCATTTATATTACAGGGGGCATATTTAGGCTAGTGGCGAGAATATACTAACTATTTTTTTTTATTTTTAGGGTAACAAATTAAGTGAACATTGTTGTCTTTCGTTTTAAAGGGTTGAAGGAGAGATGTTACCAGGGAAGGATCTGAATGGTCTGCTATACCATGTTTACAATTTTCTTTATAATACACTCATTCTATTTTATTTTGTGTTAAGAAGATATGGATGGTGCATTTAACACTAGTTTGTCTTTCATGTTTTAGGGGAAAGATTTAAGTGAGCTAAGAAGACATACTTTCTCCAACACTGTAGACTATAGAACTTTAAAGAAGTTCGTACTGAAAGTTTTTACACCGTGTAAATGTAGAGAAGTACATACCAGACATAAACAGGCTTTAAAGGTATGTTATATTTATTTATGAACTTCAAACGAAAACCTGAGAAATAACTAGCACATCGCATATAAGGCTCTTTAGATAGGGATCTCACATGATGGAAAGAAGGCCATGTGAGCTTTTGTCATTGCTGTGTCCGTCATTCCTCCTTAAACATCTTACATTTTGAACTTATGATATTAACTCAAACTTGACAGAACTGTTAGTTACAATGCCTTTCCAAGTGATATTGGTGCGATTTTGTCTACAAACAGACCAGCATTAACCTGATATTGTTTCTGATTTGCAGGACATTTTTTTTCTCAACAATCGTTTAATAATTGTCCGAGGTCGAAGGTAATATTAAAAACCTACAAAAACTAGATTTTCCATAAAAGTAATGAAATCAAATCAAATCCAAGCATACATGATGTTGATTATAAAGTACCTATTAAATCGGTATGAAAAATCCAATGTAGCTTAAAGGGGTAAAAAATGAGTCGGGTTGGTCCAAATATCCACCTTCATTCTTTTATGGAACTGGTGAACCAATTGAAATCAAACTTGAGAGATATCTTTCTTTGAATGTTATTATTGTTTGATTTTATTCTGGAATGAAAAAAAAATTGGGGAGAGGGGGATTATTCTCTTAAACACCTTCAATATATTTTTTCCTTTCCAATTTGATTGTCTGTCAACTGACCAAAGCAAAAACATTGTAAATTAATTTGAAAAATGAATTTTTATTGACTTCACAGAATGACCAATGTATCACTTATTTCTTCAATAAACATTCTCTCGGAAAATAATCTCAATTTTTACGTGTATAGAAAAAAATATCTGATCGCTTAATTCATCAGAAAAAGTTCCTTTCAAATCTGAATGACACGACTCTCAAGCTGTCAGAACAGAATGTGAAATATAGGAATTGAAACAGAATGGTATGGACTATTCTTCTTCAAACTGTATCTAGATTAATGAATCATATGATATACTAGTCAACAAAAGATACGATACAAGGCAATGCATTTCTATATATGGAAGTACCAAGCTTAAATTTGCCCAATTGGTGAAATATTGACAGTTAATTGTTTCTCATTAAACTATGATTTAAGGCAAAAAAGTGATTTTTTTTTTTGTCACAATAACATTGATTTGAATTGTATTCTTTTCACTTGAAATTTAAAAAAAAAATGAGAATATTTTTAAAGCAGTTGCTTTTGCTTTGATGCTATCATGAGAAGGCCATATTTGTGACTAAGATTAATGCCAAACTGACCAAAGTAACACTGTAGATTCTTCTCCTGTGATAATTTATCATATGCGTTTTTAGTTTAAGGGATTAAGAAACAATTCAATCAAAACAATGGAAGGCTCGTGAAGTTTCAAAACATCAATTTATAGATGAATTTTTGCATTTTTTTGTTGTCCGATCAGCTGAGTACTGGAATGATGTATCAGTTGGCTTTCGTTGCCCATTTACATAACTACATAAATAGTATGGGTTGTCGCACATTAGAGACATTTAAAAACTGTTTTCGAAAAAGTGTTTTTCCTATCTATTGTCGCCTTATATTTTGCAATATATACCCAGTGTATCGTTTTAATAGCTTGACAAAGTCTCTCCTGTCAAAGTCGAAATTTCCAAACTGGGTAACTGACATGGTTTGAGTGGGTAAGGGAGTGGTCATTGCTTGTTTCGATTTGACTTGAAATCAGATGCCACGATATACATACACACTTTATTTAGAGTCTGCAGCTTTCAGATGACTGTAAACCTTTTAAGTGTTGTGTCTTTTTAAAACAGAATCATGGATATGAAACAAAACACATGATAATAAACTTGTGAAAATTACAATTTTTGATTGATTGTTGCAAGACTTTATTGGAAATTACACGTAGGTATTTACATTTATTTTGATTTATTTTTCGTAAAGAATATTTTTGATATGCTTAAGGAGAGTACTTCAGATGATGCAACGTTAGCTGAGACTGAAGAGTTATTTGATGAGTGGGATGGAGAGGCTGAGGAAACAAAACGACTGTGTTCTGGTCACGAGAGAGCCATTCCTATAGACAACCTTGTTATGGACCTGGATGTCAAAGAAGAAGGTATGACTGCTTTGTTTTCCATTTCTATTCTATTTGATATTTGATTTTCACGATCAGAAATTTGTAATGAAGAAAGTGAGTTGGTCGAATCAAAAACTTAGATAACTGCTTGTTCTTGCAGCTTTTCTGTGTCAATTTTATATTAGTTGAATTAAATAGTCCAAATTATACAAGTTACAGCAAACATTGTATGTTTTAGCTAACGGAGTTTCGTCGTAACAAACTGAATAAGAGTCAATGTTTATATAACTGGTTATGTTCAATAGTTGATTTGACATATTTGATTAATGTTGGCTGATGGAATTTGAAAATTATTATGTGAATTAAGGCAGTCGTTTACCGATGTTCAAATCTAGTAAATTGATTTGGAAGAGAAAATTCAAGGTAACAAACAAAAACTCAGGGATTCACATGAACTCTTAAAAACAACTGAAGGAATCACATAAACTTCAAAAATGAGCGAGAACAGGTGTGTCTACATGGTAAGTATCTCCTGATATGCATGCATCACCAGCCATACAAATTTACAGTCAGTCAAAATGTTACAATTGGTAAAATTACATATCAGATTTCTTTACTGGTATCTTAAGGGTATTTTAAGTTTACCCTTTTATTCCTTTAAGGAATTTCAACTTTATTTTGTTATCTTGAGTTACACCCACACGAAACCTGGAAATTGGAGAATCTAACCAATGTCTACTCAACATGCAATATACAATGTTATGGAGGACCAGCTTTGCTTCAGGAAATTGCTAAAAAGGTAGGTGAATATTTGATAACCATTAATGTTATGTAATCCATGTATTTATGATAAATGAAAAAGATAAGGTACTTCAGTATCAGTTCAAGATTTTGACAAGCAAATGAATCAAATTTTCCGTTCATCTTGGGATTAAGAGAGTGGACGTACACGTGGCAAAGTTATTATCCAATATATTAAAAGAACGATCATTTTCTACATACTGTATTCGGCATTGGATAAGAAAAAATATTGAAAGAGGCGATTCTGAAAATTGAAAATTTACTTAGGTTCAAAGTAGGTGTAACTGAGCAAAACTGGTTTTCGATAATGTGTTACATGATAAACAACTTTCTTGCTGAAACAGAATACAGAAAGGCACTTATGAAAATGAGTACAACTTGATTGTTTGTGAAATGTTCACGCCAAAATATTTACACTGTAAAAAATATACTAAACTCTAAAATTGCGGTGCTTATTTTTTTAATATTATCACCAGTCATGTTATACTTAAATAAAAAATAATCTCTAATGTCAAAAATGTAGAGCTAGTTTCCATTCTTGGAAAATAACTAGTGTTAAAAGGATATAGTCCATAATAAAGTCGAAATCTAAAAGCTTGTTGATCGATGTTTCATGAGGTTTCAGAACATCCATACTCATATAGCTTTTGTAAAGAGCTAGTCATCTCTTGACTTGTTAATTAGAAAATATTCAATGAAATAATCATGATAAATGAGATGTTTATTTCCAACGGTCTTCGTGTGATGAATTTTACATGTACTGTCTATTTCCATGAAATATTGCAATTGTACTTTTTCAAGGTACATTTAATTTAATATAACTCGCATCTGTATCTTAATGTTTGCTTTAAGAGTTTTACAGAGTACCTGAGGGAGTGTTGGGTAACCCCTTAACCATCGCGTCGAGGAGCCAACATATGATGTCGTTTGTATGACTTTGCATGGCGACCAATTTCTGGGGCCTCATACAAAATACCAATGGCAAGCATTACGGTTTTAATATGTTGCCAGTGCCAAATTTTGTTACAGATGTGGAAGAAAAAATCTTGCCTTGAAGATGCATTAAAGTTGTACAAATTGATAATTTTATTGTCCGTAACTTTCATAAATATATTGAATCTAGACACAGTAAATTGAGAGTTTGACAATTAAAATGATAACATTTGTTACGTTCAAATAGATTCATCAGAAATGCTCAAATTTAAAAAAGAAATAAATCAAGAATGTACATATATTTATATTATAAACAAGGACAACATAGATAAAAAATTACCGTTTAATTTTTGAACATATGGATTCTTAGTATTTATATTTTGAATCTATTTTGTTGAATAATAATCTCTAATAAATATTAAAATGTCACCAGAAATTAATGGTAGATTGATTGATTGTTGGCTGCTTTACGTTCAGTGGCAAATATTGCATGCATGTTCAGAACGAAATTAATGGTAGATTCCTAAGATGGGTTCCATTTAAATTGATTCAACTATTTTAAATATTCCAAATAAATTTGTGACCAATAATTTACGTATGGCAGTTTAAGAACTATGAAACGCATTATTAATCTCTATAAATGAGGCATAAATGTTATAGTTGATGTATGTATAATTATTTGAACACATAAATGTCTTATTAAATTCTAAAAACGGTAATGTAGTCAAATCTGGCACTCATCATTACGTTCATTAAAGGCTGAATCTTTTAACATGTTTAAATCTACATCGAGTTCGTTTAGTATAAAATTACTGAATCAGCTGAAAATATAGATCCCATCCCACATAAAGGATCCAACCGAACGTCTATTTCAAGAAAATGATATTTATCAACAATGTTTAGGAAAGGAAAAGTTATCCAATTTTGTCAGAACATTTACATGAGGACAACCATTGGGAGTTCTGTTATCAAGGTTTAAAAGAACAAAGATCTTTTTTAAGTTGTATTTAGTTGCAGTTTTTCTTGGGATTGATGAATTTCTATATAATCTACCCTCTCACATCACATCATTTTATTTTAGTTTTAAGATATAGATTGATAATAGTAGATGTAGGGTATATATTTTATATTCATTGTCGTTGTTAACTTTAAATTGATCTCTGTAATTTGTTTCGTCTTGCCGCTGGCAAGCATGTGGGATTGAATATAAACCAATGGTGGTTCAGTTTTGTGGAAAACAATAGAATTTTATTGAAAAACTGAGGACAATTAATTTAGAAATATTATATTGAAAGCAAAGTTATGTTCGTCAATAAGCCTGTGGCTATTGGAATGTCAGACTAAGTTTGATAACTTACTTTGTACAATTTACCAGATAAAAAGAAGAACACAATTTCAGCTGAAAACATTTTAAGGAGTTCAATTACCGACAATTTAAATTTGTATTCTTGCATATAATAACCTAACTCAATACCAACACCAGACATAATGCAATTAGTTACGTCTAAAAGTAATTGCATTAATATTTCGTTTGAAACTAATCCGCACATTTTTTTTCCTCCGGCTGTAAACAAATTGGTTAAATCACGAATGAAAAACATTCGTTTGCGCAATGCTGATGAATGTGTCTGCAGAATTAGTTCGGTGTATGTCCAGATTGTCAGAAAATTAATATTGGCTATTGCTAAACAAGTTTGTTCAAATAATTAATTTTTCTGTTCCGGTTTTGTTTTTTTTAAAGGCTCCAGAGGTTAGAACCATCAATGACAAACGTGTTTGTAACTCATTTTTACAACACTTTGGAGTCAACTTTATCTTAGTGTAAATTCTTGTTGTTGTGTCGCCTGACAGCCTTTAGCTGTGGCGACTTATACGGATGACTTGTGTCGCCTGACAGACTTTAGCTGTGGAGACTTATACGGATCAGTTGTGTCGCCTAGCAGCCTTTAGCTGTGGCGACTTATACGGATCACCTGTGTCGTCGTGCGTATCTCACTTTGTTAATCCGCACCTCCTTTACAACGGCTTCATTACACAAGCTCGTGCCATTTCAGACTGTTCCATGACTTTGTTATATTAAATCCGTTGGATATGCACTGATTGATACTTAAGTGTATAATAAAATATGATTTATTTATTCGTTACTATTGGCTTTAAAATAGCTTTCAGTAACTGCCAAAACTCTTCGATACTATATGCCCAGCTCATCAAATATATGGTTATACAAATAAACATTAAATCTTGGAACATTTACAAATTGTAATGTAATAAAATCCGAAAAAAGTTTTTTTACTGATTGATAATAAGGAATAATTAATAGGCATGTTATAGTTATCAATAGGAACGTAGACATTTTGTCCAAAACTATTGTTTATATAGCTACACAAGTATCAAAAGTCGACCGATGGATCCATGGTAATAAGTTTATGTTCGACTAACGTAGAAACTACAGTATGTAGTTAAGAAAAATGGTTGATCAGATCCTATATGTCTTCTATTTAGGCTGAATTTCAAATTATGACTTGATTGCGTTTATATCGTTTGCTTTTGTTGTAGTTCAGTGTTTCTGTTGTTCCGTTGTTTTCCTCTTATAGTTGATGTGTTTCCCTGGTTTTAGTTTGTTACCCGGATTTGTTTTTGCTTAATCGAATTATGACTATTGAACAGCGGAATACTACTGTTGCCTTTATTTATCACTGTATGGAAGGCTACAGCTGCCTTATGATAACGATCATCATATCATTAGTGGTTGAGATATAACATGACGCAAATTTTCTATATTATTACGACATTTGATTATACTACTCTGTCAATTTGCTATATCATTAAGATAGATTTTAATACTATAAAGGCGTTTTGATATAACATGCAGTAACCTTTTCATACTATTCTGTCATTTTACTTTGTCATAAAGATATTCTTTTATACTATGAAGACATCTTAATATAACATTGAGCAACTTTTTCATACTATTTTGTCACCTCACTATACTATTATGTCATGTTACTATCTTATAACGATAAATTTATATACTATACAATCATCCCGATATAACATGGAGCACCTTTTTCATACTATTCTGACTTATTAGACATATTACTATTTTACGACGATAAAGTCGTATACTACAAAGACATCTTGATATAATATAGAGCCACCTTTTCATACTGTCTGTATAATTTTACCTCACTATGCTTTTCTGACAGATTACTATATCATAATGATACATCTTTATACTATAAGGACGTATTGATATAACAGTAATGCTGGCCAAGGAATATGAAAAAAGGCGCAATTTTGTTTTGTTTACGTAGAATTTAATAAATTCGAGGTGAATGTGGCATGTGAAAAATTGCCCTTCCCCTTTTTATATGAAAAACTCAGGAAGGAAAAATCAAAATTTCACCTAAAATTATACAGACCATTCTACTATCATTAAAAACAACAGTGTAAAATTTTAAGTTTATTTTCATAAAATTCTTAACTTTGGATTTGATAGTTTTTGATATAAAGCACACTTATTCATGTATTGTTATGATACTTATATAATTTTCCATGTGCTAAAAGTTGTATGCCCATGTAATCTGCAATTTTTATGGACCTACAACTTTCAAAAGTTTTGCAAAAGATATTGCTATTGATATTATACAATTATGGCCTGTTGAAGAGGTGAATATCCAGTAATTATAGAGGAGTTAATGAAAAATAAAGAAATTTCCACCTATGGAAACGCAAAATATAATGATACCGTGCGCGAAGTTTACGCTGCCCTGCTGTCAGCCAATCTTGGTGTTAAGAATGTAGAATATATCGTCCGTACAGTTTTAAATAAACTTGCTGGTGTTAAAGTTGGTCGTCTACCGAAAAAAACATTCTCTGAAATAATGCTTATCGAAGCAAAGGCTTTGGCACAAATCCAAAGCGTCGATGCTATTCTTACATCAAATGGTTTATGTACTATTCATACGGACGGGACAAAACGTAAGGATCGCGAGTATGGCGGTTTACAAATAGGTACTAGCACAGGGCAATTCAGTGTAGGGATATCTGAATTAGTTCAAGGGA